GGCTCTGCTGCAGCAGGACGGGGGACACGGCGAAGGGGCTGGGCACGGCCTGCGCGTACTGCAAGCGGCGCATCATGCGGGGCGAGCCCAGCGCCATGGAGCCCACCAGCGGGCTGGCCATCTGCGGGCAGAAGCTCATGGCGACGGCTTGCTGGAGGGTGGCGATGGCAGAGGTGACCTGGGGCTGGACGGGGCTGTACATGGCCGTGTGCTGCTGCAGCTCCGCCTGCTGCACCATCTCCCGGTCGTACTTGACGATCTCCTGGATGATCTCGTTCTCCTGGTTGTTGAAGACACCTGAGTTGAGGTCGTGCTGCACTTTGTGGAGTAGGATCGAGTTCTTCTTCCCTACAGGGAAAGGAAGGACTGTGAGACCCTGTACTGGGGCTATGCTGAGCTCCCATGGGAACCACAGCTGACACCCCCTCTCCCCCTCCAGGCCCCCCTCTGTGTCCTACCGATGCGGTCGAGACGGTCGATGGCCACAGTCTCAAAGGCCCGTCTCATCATGGGGTACTCCTCCAGCACCTCGTTGAAGTTGTCCACTGAGAGCGAGTAGAGGCGGCAGTAGGTGTCTGCACGGACACTGGCCGTGCGCCGGCCACGGGTCAGCAAGCAGATCTCTGGGGGAAAAATGCCAGGGCCAAGGTCAGAACACCACCATCGAGGACAAAACAGGGCAGGCCAGGAGCAGGATGGGAGAAGCACCAGGCACTGGGTGCCCTGAGACAGCACAGGGCCTCTCACACACCCTGAGAGGGGACCAGGCTCAGTCCTGCCAGTGCTCACCCCCAAAGTAGGAACCATCGGAGAGTTTCATCTCCTTGTTGCCCTTGGTGAGGATGCTGACCACCCCATGCTGGATGAAGTACATCTTCTTGCCGATGGTGCCCTCTCGGATGATGTAGTCGCCCGGCTGGAACACCTCAAACTTCAGCTTGGTGAGCATCGCCGTGACAAAGTTGGGGTCGGCGTTGGCAAACAGCGGCATCGAGGCCACCAGCTTGCGGCAGTTGAAGTTCACGATTTCCTGTGGGGACGTGGGTGAGCCCAGGAATGTGGGACATGATTCCCCAGGGATGCGCTCCCCACCCCAAACAGTCTTATGGACACCCTGGCATGAGCTTGTGCATGGACACACTCCCACATGCAGCTGCAAAGCTGCAGCAAGAGGTGTTTGACCCTGAGTATGTGTATAGCAGGAGCTGATGGGACCCACAGCAAGGAGCAGGGGATCCCTTCCCTTGGAAAGGGGGAGCAATGCCCATCCTCACTGCAGCATTCCTCTCCCAGCTCCCCAGCCCTCACCTCACGCAGGGGCTCGTTGAGCTCCCCCAGGATGCTGTCCTCATCAAACATCTTGCCCTGGTAGCGATGCTCGTAGTAGTCGTGAATTTTCTGGCGGAAGTCGGCGGGCAGCTTGTGGAAGGACATGTACTGCTCCACCTGCTTGTACTGTGGGGAGAGGTGGTGTCAGCTGGGACCTCCACCCACATTCCCCTCTCCATCGCCCCTCTCCTGCTCCTGACTGGGAACCATCACCCCACGTGGCTGCGGCTCCAGGAGGGGACAAATCCATGGGCCCCATGCGGCTCAGTCCTACCTTCTCCTGGTACTGGCGCCGGGAGGAGTCCAGCGACTGGATGAGGGCGGTGGCGTGGCCGATGAACATGGCGTAGCAGGTGGCCCCCACGATCATGCTCAGCATGGTCAGCCAGATGTCCGTCATGCTCTCGGGCGCCTGCTTCCCGTAGCCAATGCAGAGCATGTGGCTCATGGACTTGAAGAGGGCGAAGGAGTACAGCTCACTCCAGGAGTCGTTCTGTGGTGACAGGGACATCAGCTCAGCCATGCACACACGTGTGTGTGTGTGAGCATCACCCGAGGGCCCAGCGCCCTGGCTCACGCCTGGCCACAGTCACGCTTCTCTCCCAGCAATAGGAATTTGTTGATGAGCAAACTTTTCCAACTTTCCAAAGTCCCCCGGCGAAGTAGGCAGGGAAGGAGAAGGGTGAGAGAGGCAGGGGAGGAAGAGGAGGAAGCCAGGCGGAACAGAGCAGAGATGGAAATTTGATGAAACAGGATGAGACAGACAGGGGAAAAGGGCCATTTGCAGGAGGCTGCAGGGCTGAGAGGGAGCAATTAGAAACAGGGACCATTATTTATTAATAGCAGCTTTGTGGCTAATGAGCAGGAGAAGGAGGCAGGGGATGGGGCCAAGAGCCCCATGTCAGCATATTCCTCCCACCCAGATCAATGCACTGCTCCAGGTCCTGTGAGACCTCACCCTGGCAGCAGTCAGAGCAGCATGGGGCCGGGTGCTCCGTGTGCTGTGGGGCACCACAGCCCTGACCCCCGGGGGAGATGGCATCTCCTGGGGCTGGAGGATGGAGGATGGATGATGTGGGGGTGGGTGGGAGCCCCGGGGAGCAGGCAGGAGCACGGTGTGGGGCAGATGGAACTCACCACCATCCCATTGATGGAGACCCAGCAGTTCTGGGGGAAATCCTGCAGCATGGGCACCAGGAACTGGAGGCAGCCGTCCCAGTGGCAGAGCAGCAGCATCATCCCAATGAGGTTGATGATCCTCATCACCGCGCTGGCCAGGTCGTAGGTCATGTGGAAGATCTGTGGGTGAGTGGGATGGCAGGAGGTGAGCGTGGGGACTGTCCCCCACAGCTCAGGGCACCGACCTGCATGGCCTTAGCTGGAAGAGGCTGGCCTGGCTCTGGCCTGGAGGTGGCTGTGCTCCACCTGCCTATTTATAGCTGGTGGGTGCCGCCGTGCTGCCGCCCGGGAAGTGCTAATGGCAGCGAGCCTTGGTGAGGATCAGGGAGACACAAATACTCTGGGCACTGAGCAGGGCAGCTCCCAGTGCAGGGTGTGGGCCAGAGCTACACAGCAAAGCTGAACATGTCCCCTCAAAGCAGGGTAGGTCCTCAAAGATGGGGACCCCAAAGGGCTTGGGGGTCCTGCTGTCCTCCCCAGTGCTCCCCGAGCTCCTGGTGGGGTAGGGAGCCAGAGGGGAGAGGCAGGAGGTGCTGAGCTGAGCAGGGGGACAGGATCCTACTGCTGGCAGAGCAGGGGTGGGTGCTATATCACAGCTCAGGGATGCCCCAAACCCTGCAGGGTGGGTCACAGCCACCCACCAGCCCCACAAACAGCCCCACAGATCCTCTCCACCCCGCCGGTTTGTCAGGGGAGCACTGCACCCGCAGGGCCCCTCCAGCTCCCGCACTCTCCAGCCATCCAGCTGCTGCCGAGGGTCCCACAGCAGGTCCTCACCTCCTCCCACTGGTGGATGTAGCGGATGAGCCGGGAGAGGCGGAGGAGCCGCAGGAGGCTGAGGATCTTGGTGAATCGGACGATGCGGAGGGCGCGGGCTGTCTTATAGACCTCTGAGTCTATGCCCTTCTCCACAATGAGGAAAACGTAGTCCACAGGGATGGAGGAGACAAAGTCCACCACAAACCAGGTCTTGAGGTACTTCTTCTTGATCTTCTCGGGGTCCAGGATGATTTCTGTGTTGTCCTCAATGACAATCCCTGTCCGGAAGTTCAGCACCAGGTCCATCAGGAAGAAGGTGTCAGAGACCACATTGAACACGATCCAGGGGGCCGTGGTCTCCTCCTTGAAGAAGGTGATGCCCACGGGAATGATGATCAGGTTTCCCACCATGAAGAGCAGCATCGTGAAGTCCCAGTAAAATCTGGGGAGCGAGAAGATGTTGGGGGATGTCACCAGCGCCCCAGAGTCCCCCCCATGCCAAGGGGACCCAGCCACCACGCCCTGCCCTAAGGGACCTGCATCACTGGGCTACTGTCACTCCAATGCCACCTCAGGCACAGGAACCCTTCATCTTCCCAGAGACCACATCCTGCTCCCCGCTCTCCAAACTGCCCCCAGGATGATCCTGCAGCCAGCAGAGCCCCTGATTGAGTCAGAGGATGGGGCTGAGGGCTTCTGCTGGTCTGATCTGGCCCGTGACAGCAGGTCCTGGGGAGGGGAGAATGATGGCACCAAGCACCAGAGGGGGACATGCTCCAGCTGAGCTGGTTTTTTTTGAGCATTCGGGGGATTGGGGACCCCCAAACGACGGGCAGTGCTCAAGGTCCCGGGTAGAGTCAGTACCCGAGAGCCCTGGGAGCGGCCGCCCTTTTCTGCGCTCCCAGAGCGGGGACCCAGAGACAGGGGACAGTCCCCAGGGCCAGCCAGGGCCACCTCACCCCGGCGCCTCCCTGGGCCAGGCTGGCTCGCGGTTTCGGGGGTGCCGGGGCGGGCTCTGCCCGCGGTGGAAGGAGCCGCCGAGGCTCCGGTGCAGCGGAGCACGTAGGGCTGCAGCTGGCGGCGGCA